AGAGGAGGATATTTGAACACAGAACTCCGTCTCTTGTTGAGGATTGCAAACGATGAAAAGCACACGCTTAATTCAAAGTAATTGGCAAAGGGTATTCCAACATTCAAAAATTAAAGGGAATCAAATAGGTAAAATTGTGACAGAGGAAGAAGGAGAAAGAAATATCATTCGCTTTTTTTCTTACGCACTAAGCGCACTTCAAGAAGGTAACTGAAAACGTAAAACTTGGAAAATTTCATAGATTCACGAGTGGTTTGGAAACTTTCGATAAAATCCAAAGCACGAGTGTATTATAATAGGACTAATTTCAGAACTGAAATTGTGTCAACAGAATTTGAAAATGCGCCAAATATGAAAATAAAATAAATGTATTGTTAAATCAAAGAGATATGTGTAGTACATGCACTGTTTATGAACATTGAATAGTAGTAAGAGAGTAACCAACCTCGTAGAAAGGGAGTCACAGTTGATTTGCCAGTGGAGCACTGCGTGGTAAGAAAGTCGGATAGAAAAAGCAATAAACGTTTCGCGATTTCACGGTCTTGATTGGAGCTTTTGTATGTTTAGTTAAAAGGTTTGATTTCATTTAACTAGTGGAATCCCAATGTGATCTATAATATAAAATGTGTCTATCAAAATAGAGAGCGGTACAAATACAAAAATGCTTTTGTTTCTTTTAATTTAAAAGATAGAGCAAAGATAGAGAACATGACAACTGTGTATAATGAATTCTACTTAATAACGCTCGTTTTCTGAACGAGAAGGAAAAAACGACATCATACTTTATGCACATCATGCAAGTTAGAGTGTCTGGTAACATTCAGAACAAGCTTCATGTCACTTTTGGTCAAGACTAGCATATAGGAATGGCTCTGAACCAAAAACCATCGCAAGCATTACCAGTTAGAACGCAGAAATTATTTCAGTGTTCGCGTTTACAGAACGCGTAGCCCATTAGCGCAAAATGCGCTCTGGAATTCGTTTGCACCGCGCCATTTTCCATCACCACCATTTGAAATGCAGTGGTTAGGCCCAGCTGAGAGTCTGTATGTCGCTCTTGAAATGAAGGCTGCTTCAATTCAATCCTCCCCACCCCCCGGCATTCAATTCATTCAATTCAAAGCCGTGTGGACGGAAACAGTAGGTGGCGGCGTGCCACACAATGGTCAGAGGTAAGTGAATGTGATGTAAGCAGGCAGGGAAAACAGCAGGCCGGGGGGGCGCGGAGGTGAGGTTACGGATCGTGGGACAGGCGATGGAGGAGAGGGCGTGCGATGGCCGGGGAGGGGGGGGGGGGCGGACGGAGATGCACGGCGCGCGAGTGGTGGAGGGAACAGGAGAGGTAAGTGAGAAATGCGTGGGGATGACGATCAAAAGATTGCGAGAGGGACGGGGCAAGCGAGGAGGACTTGAAGCAAAGTAGGAATGGCGCAAACAGTGTTAGTTAAAAAACAAGTGTGAGAGGGAAAGATGTGAAGACGAAGGAAGACTGGTGGGGGAAGAAGCAAAACAAGACAGAAGAAGATCGATAAACGAGATGGGTCCAGGAGAAGAAACAGGCGCTGAGAGAAGGTAGACGATTGATTGATGGATCTTGACTGTTTCCTGAGCGTCAACTGCTAACGTCTTAGCGGGGAAGATGGCGATGATCTTCCCCCACTGGCTGGCGAGATCCGTGCCCACCTACGTCGGCTTACGAGCATTTTCCCACACCCAGGTATTCTCACCACGGGCTCGCGTCGTAACAGGGGCTGGCCTCTAATCCTCAACGTGTATGGTAATGTGAGTGTAAATGTAAGTAGGGTTGAGGTTCAGGTCCAAGGGGAAGGGAAATCCGACCTAGCATGAAGCTTGTGTGAAAAGATCTGCAACCGTCGGAAACCTATGGGACCTCTCTCACACACTGCAAGTGCCGTCAGTTGAAACCTGAGGCTTCTTTGCCTGTGGAGGGAAGGCAATTCGGGATGGGGAGACGATGGTGCGGAGTGTAGGTAAACTCAGTGAGCGAGGATGGGAGACGAGGAACAGCGGGGTGAATGCACAGGGAAAAGTAAGGGCGGCTGTGTGCACAGCGCTGACAGAAACTATAGTCCTGTCCACGTTGTCGTTGTCGTCGTCGTCGTCGTCGTCGTCGTCTTCGCCCTCGTTGTCGTGTCGTGGTAGTTGCATCGTCGTCTTCGTCGTTTCCGTCGTCGTCGTCGTTTGTCGTCGTCTGTCGCGTCGTCGTCGTTGTCTTCGTCGTTGTCCGTGTTGCAATGTCGTTTCGTCGTCTCTGTTTGTCGTACGTCGTCGTCGTTGTCGTGCGTCGTGGTCGTGGTCGTGGTCTCGACGTCGGCGCCGCCACCAGCCGCCGCTTCATGACTCACAAGTAAGGCAGTGAAAGCTTCTCCACGGTTCATTACGGGACTGGCCAGAGATCGTTAAGTCCACGTGCCGTCAGGCGCGCGCATGGCAACCAATTACATCTACGGTTTAACCGACGTAAATTAATTAGTTGGACGGAAATCCGAGTAAAAATAGCCGATACTTGCAAAGCAGAATAAAAAGCTTCTACGGGTTCGTTCAGGGTCTAATGCATTTTGAATTATAAACTGGGGAGGTATTAGGGCAAAAGGTCCACCTAGGCCATGTGACTCATGGTGTTTTATTCAACTGAGTGTTGCATCAACTGATGATTTCTCAGAATTTTTCGTCAATTCTGGAGGATTGAATTAAAACGCAAATAATGAAATGTGATTAAACATGTACCTATAGAATGTTCTATGGCGGAGTTGCGGATGTTTATGCTTGATATCTGTGATGATTGATGATCAGGCAAGAGTGCCGATGGACTATTTTGTTTTGCAAGAGGTTATTTTTTCTCAAGCGTCATGGAAACTGATATTCCAATTGATTTATCTCTTGAGTTTTTTTCTGCAAGAATCCAGTATTAAAACGCAATGAATTATAATGTATTTATTTTATAATTAATATTGAAAAAATTTGGGAAACGCAATACTATCATTAACAGTAGTCCAGTCACCCCCTGGGTTTTTTTTTTGGCCCTCAAAGGCCTCTCCAAGAGCTTTTTCTCGAAGTTTCAGCGTGGGGTGATGAATCGAATTTAAATAATGTTGACCACTTCGAGAACCGGTCCATTGCCAGAAACGTTTGCAAAATAAAACAAAAATTTGGCTCTTTTTTTAGTTTCTGAACTTATTATCTCCAAACCTTGCCGTTTTAATGAAACCAGTGATTCGTTTACCGAATTGAAGTTTTGTTAATATTTCTTCAAAATTGTATATATTAATTTGAATTTTCTGAAATTCTATAGGCCGCTAGAAACGCTATTTTTGGCTCTGTGGTCAAGAAAGGGAGAATAGTTCTCTCCCTCTCTATCGTGGCGACAACGCTCTTAGTTTCCACTGTGTATTGCTTGAAAACACTTGTGAACAAATGATTGGCAATTTGTTAAAAATGTCAACAATCCGATTCTCGGAAATCGTGGGGAGTATTACTATCACGAGAAGTTTCTATACAACTTGCGCTTTAAAATTAAAATAACACGAAAACAAGACAATACCGTTCTTTACAGTATAATATTATTCATGAAGCATCGATTACAATACAAAAACATTGCTCTTTCATTGAAAATAAAGTTTTAATATGAGAAAAATTATTTTCAAAAGTTCATTTTTAGTAGTTGCAGACACACGAATATGTAACAGATAAGTGGTATTCGAATTTTGAAGGGACTAATTTACGATTCATATTGTTTATTTTTTAAAGTTTTTTTGCCCACCCAATTATGGTCTGTAATAATTGATATCTAATTTTTAATGTCGGATTATTTCTGTTTTATTGGTAATTATAAATTGTAAAAAGGGAAATTTTTAAGGAGATCTGCATACATTGGTTTGGATCTTGTTGATTCATAGAATATATCTAGACACATTTACTGTACTATTACTTCAATATTCCAGAATTGTGGGAAATGTTAGAATATTTGACCGTATAATATCAGAACTCCGACAGGAATGTGTTTTGTTTTGAGATCCAAATCTCGGAACTGGTCTCCCGACATCAAGTAGAGTAGTGCATGTAGTATGTCTGGTAAGAAAGGGATGAGGATAGGAAAGGCAAGATTAAGGTAAGATCGTGCGCGGGCCTTGGACCATTTGTTAGGTTAGTGTTCTAGCATCACTGCTGGTTTGAGGAAGAAACTCGGAACATTACTGTTTCACACGCAGTCCAGCCGCTGTTCTTCACTTGCGCAAGTATCTACTTTAATCATACTTGATCTTTGAAAGAAGAAGAAAGAAATTGGGTAGTAACGTCTTTTCATTCAGGGGGTCGTTAAGGCACATACTAGCAATGTCTGGGATAAACGCGTGGAAACAGTTGTATGGGACATACGTGGCAACCTCAAATAACTCGTCAGGGTTCAGCAGCGCCAACGATTATTGGGAAGCCTGAACCTGCTCTCCCCATTTCTGGATATGGCCAGCTTGCATCCAGTGGCTTGGACCTGCGCCGCCGCTCGGCTCGGCTGGCCTGGCCTGGATTGCCTGGACTGGCTTGCTCTGCCCCGCCCCTCCCGTGACCGCGCACCACCGCCGCTCGTCCCTCTCCGTCCACACAATGGGGCCTTGAAGTGCATTAGACATAGCTTGTGCATTAGAAGCAATGCGTGTAACCCGCCTTCCCGGTCGATCAATCGCATGAAACGGTCAGTCCGGCTCCCCAGAGGCTGCGTGTCCGCGGTGAGGGGGGTAGTGCAGGGGGGCCGTGCTCAGAGGAGGGGGCGGGGGTCAGGTTGGGGGATCGAGAATGGGGTAGGGTGGTTGGGGAAGAGACTGGGAAAGTGGGGCGGTGGCGTGGCGGGATGTGAGGGGGGCTATAGTAGGGGCGGGTGTTTGGCGGAGGTTGGTAGGCGGGGCTGGGCACGCGGGGCGCAACTACGGGAACGGTACCGGCGGGAGAGCAAAAGCAGGTGGGTCTGGTGGGACGGGGTAGGCGGGTGGCTAGGCGGGGTGGGAAGGCGGTGATAGGAGGGCGGGAGGGGAAGGCGGAAAGGGGGAGGTCGGAGGCGGGGTAAGGAAGGCGGGGAGGGGAAGGCTGGAAGGCGGTTAAGGCGAGGCGGGGAAGGCGGAAGGGGGAAGGCGGGGCGAGCGAGGCGGGGGCGGCTTAGGCGGGGCGGGCTAGGCGGGCGGCCTAGGCGGGGCGGGCTGGACAGAAGCGCATGGGGAGGATCCGCCTCGGAGTCTGGAAGGGGGTGGCGCAGTTCCCATTGAAAACTAGTCGGAGCTTATAGCAAGGGAGTGGGGAAGGGGGGAGGGCGGAGTGGCGAGACATCTCCAAGGGACCCACGTCCAACTCCTCTATTCGGATGGTAAAGAGGCGCCAGTAATTGAACGATTTGCGTTAAACAGTTGAAAATTTACAAGTCAATGATGCTAATGGACACGGATTATCAATGGGCGTCACGTGGAGGTTGACGAGAAACGTCTTTGTAGTAAAACACTTTGCCCTGTGTTTCGTTACAGGCGCAGATGGCGCTGATTGGTAATTACTGCTCATCTCTATCACTATCGCTCATAGTGGGACAAGAAAGTCGTGTATGAGAGTCCAAAATGTTCGTATTATTTATGTAATTTTGAATACAATCTATCTCGAGATGGAATTGCGTAACTTGTAAGGATTATAATTAAATTATTATAATTTTATTTTTCAAATACATTTTTTATGTACATTGAATGATAATATATTGGCATTCTGAAACACAAGAACATTTTCATGTAAAGTACAACAACGCCGAATCGCTCGTCCGAAATGTTTCTTTCCACAGCCGTTTGGTGCTGGAGTGCCGGTTGTTAGTGCCTTCAAAGTGTCAGTTCATTTTGCAAATAAATGAGGAGACTGGGTATAGTTTTCATGAATGATTTACATTATCCAATAATGTTCATATAAAAACAATATTGTAATAATGAAATACAAATAAAGTCGGAAGCAGATGAAAATACAATATGCGTGGAATGAAGCCATAACATGGGGTGTAAAGGAAGCAGGCACAAATCCGAATTTACAAAGAGCCTGCGTTGCTTTCTTTCATCACACCTTTCAATTAAACTCGCATTAGATTAGCATTTTAATCCCAAAATTATAAATATAATTATATATTTCTTCAAAAATAAAGTTTTAAGAGGACTTTTCTTGTATCCTTAGTTACATAAATACCGGAGCATTAGTCCTAACTTTCTCCAGTTTCGCGAAGCGGGAGAGAAGAAAAATAGGAAGTGAACCTGCTCAAGAATAAGCTTATCTTATATGTTTGTGAAATAAAATTGTGAAATCATTTTTTGTAACAAGATAATCTTTCTGTGCGAAAGCAACTGTCGTCTGTTGACGTGCGGTCGACCATTCGGAGCCCTTTCCGAAAATAAAAGTAAATTACTAGTGTGGTCTGGACAATTTCAATAGGCATATATTTCTACCTGTCATTTCGGCTGTAAATGCATCAGTTGTTGCGCAGAAAATTGTTAACAAATTTTATACAAGCACTTGTGAACTAGAGTAAATGTACTTTTGTTTGGATTTAAACTAAGAAAAACGCAAATCGCATGAATTGATGGAATTTGCGGAGCAAATACACACAATGAAACGGAGCGGCCTGCGCGAATCTGAAACAGGTGTACCGCGTGTTTCCAGACACAGCAACCGAGGCTTTTCCTTTGCCCTGGAAACAAATCGGTAGATTAATAATGATTGCCAATATTAAGGAGACGTCGCTGTTGTGTTTTGTTGTCAAAAAAATTATTACATCTGTTTTCATAAAGATTCACGAAATACTTTAGTTTATACATTTTCAGCCTGAATGGCTTCTTTTTCTCCTGGACAAGGTGGTGCGCTATGGGTGTCTCTTCAACTGTACTAAACGCAATGTATACAAGCTCAACCTTACCACCACTGTTTTAGAACTAATTATTCTTATCATAGATATAATTTTTATTAAACTTAAACAAAGATCCACACATTATTTGGAAATTAGTGAGTCTCCTACATTGTATTCGAAAGCAACTTCCCTCAGCCCCTATGAATCGAAAACGTAGTACAAAAAAATACAATAATACAAAGTATCTTGCCACCGTCCAATTAAACGTCTAGTGTAAATAGTTCAAAATTATTTGACGTCCAAATTATTTCACGTTAATGCAATGTATGCCCAAAATATTTTTGGAGGCGTGGGGCATATCAGGCTACTCGACGTCACTTACAGTATAAAGTTGTTCTAGCCTCTTGGTAAATCACGGAGTCCTATTCTTGGGTTTAAGGCTTGACGACATATTATTTCTCTGCCAACGTTTTGCTTATATTGGGCCA